GCTCGGACGCGCGGGGGCGCGGGGGAGCGCGCGGCGGGCGCGCTCCGAGACGCGCGTTTCTTTTTTTGTGGCGCGTTGCTTTTTTTCCCTTTTTTTTTTCTTTTTTTGCCCGCCGCGGCTACCCGCCCGCCCCTGCGCGTTTACCTTATCATATACCAACAGAGCTAAGACCCCCCGCCCCTGCTGGCCTGCGCGCCGGTAGCCGAGGTGCCTCGCCCTCTATAAATAGGCGTGGTACAGTGTACAATAGTACACTGTAAGTACGGCGTTGCGCTTACAGCGGAAACCCCCGGGCTTACAGAACTCCCCCCCCGCCGCGTCGTGCATGTGGTGCAGGAACGATGGCCTCGTCTTTACTCGTGATCTGTCTTCCTCTAAAGGGGGGGTGCCCTCCAGTCCGGACCAATGGTGCAGTATTGGCCATCTAAACCCTCATAGATATCCAATCCGTGCAAAATGATTTTAGAACCAATAGAAAGCTACGATTCCCCTCTTTCTTACATGTTGTGATCATACACAGCCAATAGAATAAACTAACAGGAGCTGCCAGCAAGTACATCCCTTGGAATGAAGACAAATTGCTCTAAAGATCGGACACAAATTATACCATTTTTATTCAAAAAAATTAAATCTCAATCTCTAATATTTGTCTACAGTGCATTCCCGGTACAGTACCTCTCTTCCAGTCCGAATCTGCGCAGCAACTGTGCGCTTCTGCATAGAACGGCATTGCTTCTGGACATCCGGACAGACGTCGCATTTTACTGTACACTCATATTTGGAAGGCCATGTTTGAAACCCCCGCCTAAACACAATTGCGGTGCGCGGGTTCGACTGGTAAGAATTGTTTTTAAAAGTAACCACGTGCTTTTCCGGTACGGTCTGCTGAACAGAAGGAAACAGAGGAGGCATGGCTGGCCGGGGCAGAGAAACTCACTTTTCACGGCTGTTTACTAAGAATTCCTGATTTTTTTATTAGAGCACTTTTGTCCGGAGTTGAGGGCACCCCTCTTTACACTAAGTCTAGCGGTCGCACTCCGTCGTCGGTGGATCGTGGTACGTGTATGATGTGTGCTATGTGTCCACGTGTATGGGTATCATCACAGTGCATGCCGCTTGCACGCGCCGACTCACCCCCCCCCCCCCCTGTTGCCGCGGCAGACCCTACGCCGAGTTTCCGGCGACGTCGGCTATGTCTGACAGCAACGCAGGG